ACAACTTCCGGAAGGATATCATATTCCTGTCACGATAATGTCCCCAAAGGGTGCATTTGTGATTGCTCCTCAGCAAGAAGATGGATCTGAAGTATTGATTGGAAAACAATTACGCATTGAGGAGAAAGATAGAGCTGGATGGAATGATCTCTCTAACAACAAGGAAGAAAGTGTCAAATTCTTGCAAAGCAACAACAATCTATTTCCGGAGATCGTTCACAACGCTGTTTCCAAGATTTCGCATGACAAGATTAATGTTTGGCCATTCTATATCGTTCCCAAACTCGATAATTGGGTATCTGAGAATCGACGTGTGGTAATTCTCGGTGATGCAGCTCATGCAATTCCTCCTTCTGCAGGCCAAGGTATCAATCAGGCATTTGAAGATGTTTATATCTTTGCATTGCTACTTGCAAAGTCGGACAAGGGAGATACTCAGAAAGCACTTTCTTTCTGGCAAGAATATCGACAAAAGAGAGTTGGGAAGGTTTTGGAATTGAATCAACAAATTGATTTGAGACGCTTACCGGGAAACTCGGCAGATCAGAAGAGAGAACCATTTGAGTTGAGTTGGCTGTACAATGCAGACTTCGAAGCAGATGTACAAGAGTGGGTTGATCAACAAGGACGACAGTAAATTGAGTAGCTGCTTTTGGTAAATGTGGAGAAGGAGAGAGAAGGGTTTACTCGGGGACGGATAGAATGAACTCTGACTCAATGTGGCAGCATGGGATTTTTGAGGCGTTTCTTTAGTCTGTGAATTATTTATTGGTAGACGGAATGACAAAATGCGAGTCTTTTTTATTTCACCAAATTCTCAAAATATGACCTAGCTTTTTCCATCTCCTCCCGCCAGCAATCGAGGCGGATGAAGAAGGATATTTATACGTAGTTCATGAACTGGATATAATCGAGTTTGGAATCCGAGTGTTCCAAATGACTTGAGATTCTGTATCCTATTCTAAATATGAGGACATATTCAAATGGCAATCGGGATCATCATGAATAAAGAAATACTGACATATAATCAATCTAGAATCCCTACGGACGAATGGGTGAGTCTTGTCTATATGTAGCTCAAAACGGTCACCAGGGTCAATGCGAAGCGATACTACTGCCCCCTGTACTTGTCTAGTCGGTGCCGAGAATTGATGCGGGGATTCTCTACAGGCAATATGCATTTTCGAATTCTTTGAGCATAGATATACCCCAATCCCCCAAATACCCCAGAAGGCGTACGTCGTTGGTACCTGTCTTTTTAATTAATGCTGTATCACCTACCGTCCCTAGGAGAACAATTGAATACCACCTACCTTCTTGACATATCAATTATCCTATCGCGACAAGAAAATATCCGATAGATAACCTCACAACTCAAGTGAGGCAAGTCAAAGTCAATATCTCAATCGTACAATCAATCATACACCTATTTCAATCATCATGGAGTCACCAAGTCAATCAACAACAACAGTCACTACCACCCCTACTTCCGCACCCACACCGAGGAAATACACCGGTATGGATTGTCGATTTTGTCAAAAGAGTTTCTCTAAAGGCGAACATTTAAGGGTTAGCATCACAACACCATCAAGATGTATATCTCTTACTCACTAATCATTAATTATAGAGACACGAAAGAAGTCGTAAGAAGAAATCCCTGTGGAATTTGATTCCCTCCTCACCAAGAAGAATCGCAAGCTAATTTCACATAATGCAAAAAGATACTGGATCTCGACCTTTTGTATGCAAAGAATGCAGAAGACCATTTGCAAGACAAGACTCCCTTGCTCGTCATGAAAGGTTACATACTCGAAGAGAAAGCAATTATCCCAATTATCCTTCACCCCCTTCGAGCTTAATTACGCAATCTAGCATACCGACGAACATATTACCTGCGATTGATACAAACCTACAAGTTGAAACACCAAGAACACAACAAGGAAATATGGAGGATAGAGGTACTGGTCATTCTATCATTGGAAATACACCATCTTCTACAGAAGATCTCGATTTTGAATTGATATGGCCAGACTCGGAGGATTTATTCGAAACTTTGATGTCTTCCGATCCAACGAATTCTTGGCAAATGCCAATCGGAATATTGCCAGTACCTATAACAACTCGATCACATATAAATAATGGAAGTTTTGGTATACCAGGTCCATTTCAGGAGAAGGGTTCAATAGGTTCAATTCCGGTGGGGGAAAGTCATCAAGCGGTGCATAATGTTAGTGAGATGGTCACTAGTTTGGTAAGTTTCCATGACTCCTTGAATAAATTCCCTACTCATTAAAATACGTAGTCATCAACTGTTACGGCTGCTGTTGAAGCTACATCTCTTACATCGGTTTTTCTGGATGAATGTTTACATATGTTCTTCGTAAGATTCATACCCACATTTCCAGTATTACATCGATCAACATTCGTCTTTCGAGAATGTACTCAGCCTTTACTTCTCAATGCCATGGCTATTGGTTCTTTGTATCTTGGGCCCAAAGATTCAGTTGCGAAAGGAGAAGCTTTATGGAGACTTGCCCATGTAGCAGTTGCGACATCTTGGGAAACATTAATCACTCACCAAGGTCCTTACGATAGTTGTCAAGGAGTACAGTTAGTGGTCACGGCTTTACTTGCTCAAATTTACGGCGCTCTTTCAAGGAATCGAGTTATTCGAACCACAAGTCAAGCATTCCATGCTCTTGGATTCTTTTGGGCGAGGCAATGCGCAATATCTGATAGTGAACCATATTCAAGAAGTAACCTCCCAAACCAAAATTCTACCGACGAAGAGAAGAATAGAGCTTGGAAAGTCTGGGCAGCCAAAGAAATTCAACAACGTGCGTTATTAGGTCATTATGTATTGGATGGCTTAATATCAAGAATGTCTGGGGAAACACCATCAGTTCGACATGCTGCCAATCAATTGGGGTTACCCAGTAGTGAAACAGCATTCGAAGCTACGACTGCCAATGAATGGCTAAATCACATGAGATCTCAAGAACCTTTACAATATTCTTTCCGAAGTATTATTCGATCGTTATTTGCTCCGGCTAGTCAACCTCTTGCTAGTTTCCATGCGTTCTCGGCATTTTCTCTTCGAGTCATTCTAGAAGGCCTTCAATCCTTGGTTTCAGATTGCGATTCCGATGACCTTTCTACAGTCGGTGTACCTACAAAGCTCGAATTACGAAAAGCTCTGGGTCACTCTTTTGAGGCTATATCAATGAGCCCAAATCTTTCACATTCCGAACGACTTGAACTTCTGTTAAGGTGGCATACCATTTGCCTAGATGCCTGTAAAGATTCATCATTACTTTGCAGATCAATTTGTTCTCGTTATGGTATCGTTCAACATGTTTGCGGTGGAAAGAATATCATGAAACCAGAACAAGATTTAATAAGTTGGGCCAGTACGGAAGAAGCACGAAAAGCTCTCTTACACGCCATTGCAATCCAAGAGATTGTAGAACAATTACCAAGAGGTAGAGCACATGTCATACATATCCCAAGTTCTTTATTTGCTTCAGCAACAGTCTATTGTGTATTTTCACTGGCTGGTCAGGGTGCAGTCAATGTACCAAATATTGTGGACTGGCAAGCTGTTTTGGCGACCAATGAACCTGGAAATTCTTCAATCCAACAAGGATGCACTAGTCAATCAGAGACAGAATTGTATCTTCGAGGGGAAAATTCATTTTTCAGAGCAATGGGGACAACGAAGAATCTTCTTTATGAACTCAATTCTATGCAGAAGCTATTTAAATGCTTGTGTTCACAATGGGGCATTGCATTCGATATGGAGGATATTTTGGATCAATGGAATACCCTTTGTCATTGAGTTTAGGATATGAGTATGGGTATTAATGATTTATGATTTATGGATATGTGTGGAGCAAGGCGTAATGATATCACTGGGTCCTGGGTTTAATGCAAAATGGGTTTAGATGGGAGGTTAGTTCTCAACAAAATATTGCTGTAAATTACCACTTCGAGTTTCAGTCAGCGTAATGAATTATGATATGCAGAGTAGTATTCATCATTGTCGATCTCAAGAGAACAAATCATACCGTTGCATTTACATCGAGCATAAACCTCGTCACAGCCATCATGAACACCATTTGCTATCCTATCTACCTTCTACAAAAGTTGGAAGATCAAACACTTTCATTTTGAATCCCCACACTTGAATAATGAAGAATTGTCATGGCGCGCAAGGTAACCACGCGGTAATTTTTTAAGTCCAAAGTGTATTAGTGCTCCACTCGCTTATTTAGTGCCCCTCAATGAAGGGATACGACCTCGACGACTTGACAACAGAAGTAATGATGATAAATCAGCAAAAAGTTCTGATCCCGTGATATTATTACCCCTCCTTCTCCACAAATCATGACACCTTCCTTCATTCTCTCGAGATCTACTCCATCAGGCATCTAGACCATTCCTAGTTTTGTCCAGCCTATCATCATTGATCGCTCAGACCCTTCTGTATGGAGTTGTATGAGTATTCCATCACTTTATGCTTTGTCAGATACGGAGTTCCCCTCATTTGACAAGGCTTCTTGAAAAAGTATGTTCATTGTATTGGGTTTGAGGGAGAGGAAGGGGAAGGTGAATGGTATCAGCCTTATACAATCTAGATAGATGAATGGATCTTGATTATTCAGCTTAGATGGGATGTGCGACGTATCATCAGATCATACGATCTGGGGCCTTGGAAACTTTCGGGATATGGAAACGGGAGAAGAATAGCTTGAGAGGAGACGATATCGGCGCGTGGATCTGGATGGGATCTTGAATGTTGCTTGTTGTATTGAGATATTGAAGTTGATCTTTTTGATGAGGGTTTTGTGTGTTTTGATATCGTTTTTGAGCGGTTTGTGAATAGTTTGAAGAAATATTGAAGTGTCTCTGATTGTCTACCGAGATTCTAATAAGATTTGTATAGCCAAAAGCGAAATTTGGGAAAGATTTCACTGGTTCATTCCACAAACAACGTAAAGATGGACGATCCAAAACAAAATTTAAAGATTTGTATTATAGGTGCAGGTATGTATATCACCTCCCTCAATCAATTTTCATTCGCGTCGTGCATGATTCCAACATGTCGTTACACTACTTCCACCATATAAAAAGCTTATTCAATACGTATTACAGGAATGGCAGGCCTGACATCCGCTTTGGCTTTAAAGAAAGAGGGATTTAAAAATGTAGAAGTCTTCGAGACAGCTCCTGATTTAGGGTTTGTCGGGGCGGGAATTCAACTCGCTCCTAATATGTCGAGGATTCTGGATGGATTGGGGGTTTGGAAAGATATTGAAAGGGAAGCGGTGGAATTGAAGAGAACGAGTATTAGAGGTTAGTTGGTCTTGGGATATTTGTTGAGTCCAGGATGAGGTTGGAGTTTACTAATGAGAGAAAATTGTAGAAGGGTCAACGGATGAAGAATTAGGTTCGGTGGAATTAGGATATATTCAAGAAGAATACGGGTATCCGCATATGGTTGGCCATCGTCATTCTCTTACTCAGGGTCTTTACCATGGGTGTAAGAAGTACCCGGATCTGAAATTTCACTTCGGAACGAGTGTTCATGAAGTACATGATTTCTTCCCGAGACCTGCGTTTACGATTTCATCGAGGGGAGGAGAGAAAGAAAGAGTGGAATGTGATGTTTTGTTGGCCTGTGATGGGATTAAATCGAGGATTAGGGAGAAGATGTTGAGGGATTTGGGGGTAGATGCTAAGGTGGTGGATTCGGAACAGGCGGCGTATAGGATTTTACTTACGAGGGAACAGATGGAGGATGATCCGGAACTTTTGGAGTAAGTTTGTTCTTTGTTTGATGTGCTTTGTCTTCTCTTGGGACTATACTAGTCAATCTGACTCTATCTATTGAATTGGGACTCTTCGGTGGCTGGGATAACTTGGAATGATAGGATCCCCCTTTGTTGTCTTTTCTCATCTCATTTCCTTAAACCCTCACATAAATTTAATTCCCAAAGCCATCCGTCTTGTCCCATCATCCACTCACCATCTCCCAGATTAATCAACACCTCCGGCGTCTCCCGCTGGATCGGCGAACGTCGCCACATAATCGCCTACCCCATCTCCTCCAAACGCATCTACAACATCTCCACCACCCAACCCGATATCAATTTCGCCATCTCCCCCTCGGAAACCTACACTACCAAAGGATCCAAAACCACCATGTTAAAAGTCTTTGAAGATTTCAACCCCAAAGTTCGACGTATGTTGAATCTTGTCCCGGATGGCGAAGTCTGCGAGTGGAAATTACGTCTGCATGCTCCTTTGCCGACGTGGGTGAGGGGAAGTATGGCATTAGTGGGTGATGCGTGTCATCCTACGCTTCCGCATTTAGCGCAGGGGGCTGCGCAGGCGGTGGAGGATGGGGCTGTGGTTGCGGTTTGTTTGGGAATGTTGGAGGATGGAACGAGGGAGAGTGTGAATAGAGCGTTGAAAGTGTATGAGAAGATTAGGAAGGAGAGAGCGGAGAAGATAGTGGAGTTGGCGGCGGCGAGCGCGAGGAGTCTGCATCTTGGGGAGGGGAAGTTGAAGGAGGAGAGGGATAGATTGTTTAGGGATTTGAGGGAGGGGAGGGGGAAAGGGGTTCCGGATAAGTGGGCGGATAGGGAGGTGCAGAAGATGGTTTATGGGGTTGATTGTGTGGGGATTGCGAGGGAGAGGTTTGGGGAGTTTTGGGAAGAGGTGGAGAGAAAGGGGTAAAGAGTAGATTATTGATAGGGAGGGAATGTGGGAATGTGGTATCTTGTTGTGGGGATCATCATGCAAATTCGGCTTAGTATGAGGAAATGTTTGGTTAGTACACTTGTTTAGGGATGGAAGTTGAGAGTATCTGATTGTGTGAAATTTGTTTGGTATTTCACTATTACTGACTACCTACTTGTCGTCAAGTGTAAATCAAAGCATCGTATAATAAACATAACACAGACTTACAGCCACGACTCGAATACAATCTACCTTTACTACTATTCATATCATCTTATCTCGTATTTTCTCATCCTTTATATGACAAATAACCCTCCAACCTTCCACCTTACCAACATCCACACACATCATCAGACACGCCAGCCCCAACCCAACGCAATAAAATAAATCATCACCTACCCATCCATCCTATCATCCGTGATCCGAATTGTACTTGCACAGGTACCTAGCTTATTTATAGACCTTCTCCTATCCCACACCTCACATCTCACATCTCATACCCTAACGCGTAAGCATGCATACATTATCTTAGCTACATCCATATCTTAATTTGGGGATCATCACTACCGGATTGGGAATCCGTTTATTCATTAAGCTATTTATTAAGCTATTTATCTATCTATCTGTCTACCATAGGATAGAATAGAGTAGGATAGAATAGAGTAGGATAGAATAAAAGAATAGAATAAAAAGAATAGAATAAAAAGAATAGAATAAAAAGAATGAAGTATAAGGATTTGAACTTCCAGAGGAATATTCAAGAAAGACAAGGTAAATGAAAAGAAGTAAAAAGAAAAGAAAAAATGAAGGAAAGATGGGTATGAGATCACTATGTGAATTATAGAGACTACTCTGGTATTCTGATACTCACTCACTCACTATCTAGATATTCTACTTGTGTGATGTTTTATAAGGACCGGAGATTTTCAGGAGTGAGGGTTGGAGTGAGGAAGTGAGGAAGTGAGGATCTGGTAGGGGGACAGATGTCGATATTGATAGTGATAGTGATATTAATAATGAAATCCATATCCAGAATATTCATAATCATAGTGTTCATACCCAATTTCTTTTCTTTCATCAAATTACATTACATTGCATCCCCACCCCTCATCACTGACTGACGATTCTCTACACACACACGTATATACACACACACACATAAAATGTCACCAGAAGCTTAACCCATAGAATCTCAGCAAAGCATGCTCATCCTCAATCTCGAACAAAAAACTTGCATTCATTCATTCGGCTAAAAAGATACATAAACATAAATATACAAATCATTAATCATTTATTTCATCTCTCCGTTTCCACTCCCATTCACACTTTCATTCGCATCCGCAACCATCACCCCTCGTTCCCGATCCGCAACTCTTCTTGCCAGATCCTCAGAACGCGATGGTCTCCATCGCTTCCCCATCAATTGCACGATGAACGTGGGGATAATACTGACTCCGATGAGGAGAGCCGCTGCTACAGCTGCACTTTTCGAGAGGCCGAGATTCGTGAACATAGATGGGAACCTATTATTTTATCAGTTGCGATATTCCCTCAAAGAATCTCAAGGAGAAAAAAAAAACATACCAAAAAGGACCAATAAATCCCCAAACCTGTCTCACAAACGTGATGAAAACTCCAATACTCGCCGACTCCTCTAGATGCGAATCCACCGCATAAGTAATCAAAACCGTCGTGACAATTTGATTTCCCACGCCCGCGATTGCGATTCCGATGACTGGTGTAATATTCCAATGCATTTCCTTTGCCTGTTCTGTTCGGACGAGGAAGACCACGGCTCCGACAATGGTGAGGACGAACCCAGCGTAACTTAACCATAAACGATGTTCGGGAGCGGGCTGGATACCTGTCTTGCGAGCCTTGCGATTCATCCAGAAATCGGAAAGATTGCCTCCGAGTTGTTCACCGATGACGGATCCAATGATGAGAGCAAGAAATTGGTAGCCGAGTTGTTGGGCGTTGAAACCGAATTTTTCGGCAAAGAGTTGGGGGAGTTCGACGGTGATGAGGACGGAGCCGAAGAGGAAGGTCATGGCGTATGCAACAGCCGGGATGACAATACATGGTTTCGCGAAGAGAGTGAGAGGATGAACGAAATCGTAGACACGAAGTGGTGAAGGGTCGATTCGATGGAAAGTAAGATACTCTTCTTTGAAAGAAGATTTAGGATGTTGGACTCCATGACGAAGATATCTAGTTTCTGGACCCAGGAAAACATATGCGATAAATTGGACTCCGTTCATGATTGCCAAGATCCAATAAATCCATCTCCATCCCACGTTGTTGGCGACGAACCCCATAACGAAGGGGGAAAATGGAACTCCAATTGTAACCATAAGTGTCCAGATTCCCATATAACGAGCTCGATCTTTCTTGAAGAATGATTCTGTGACCACGGCACTTCCAATTGCTCCAGCGGGACAAATGAAGAATGCAACAATGGCACGACAAAGTGCCATAGTGGCATAGGTGGGTGATTTAGCACATCCTATGTTTCCAACCAAGCTAATAAGAAGCGATATAAGAAATAGAGGTCTTCGTCCGAAGGTATTGGATAGAGGTTTCCATAGCAGGGGAGCTCCTCCCAAGATGGCAATTTGAAGTGAGGTAAGATATGAAGCTTGTTGGAGTGATACACCTAGTTCTTCTGCGATACTTTCGTAGGCTGGAATAATGGCTGCTGCTGTAAATGTTGACATACATGCATGGAGTGCAACAAGTACGAGATTTGTAACTTTCTATACTTATTGTTAGTTAAGTTTAGAGAAATTGATTAGATAGTTTTGCCATATACCTTTGAGTTTGTCCAATTGTATGGATCAGCTTCGCTAGGTCCAGGTAAAGGATCTAAATCAAGAGTTCCATGTCGTGCAAGAAGATATTGTCTATGTTCTTCAGATAACTCATTTGCTTCGATATAAGTTGCATGAGTTGCTGCATGATCGATGGTTTCAGAGAAATCACCACTAGGGTTTGAATCTTTACGCTCAATGGCGCCTGCTGTAACTGCCATTGTATTATTTCGTTCAAGGCAACTTGATATGAGAGTTTGATCTCAAATGGTACAAAAATCAACGTTCAAACAACTTCAATCTTGTCAGAAACCAAGAAAGTTTGATATTGCAAAACAACCCCTCCAAGACTTCAAAGTACTTAAATAGAGGAACTCGTAACGGAAGAAGAAAAAAAGAAGTTTATGATCACAAATAGTTCAACTCGAATCGAGGATACATCTTTGAAATATAGGAGAAAATCTTCCCCGTATTCAGCTAATCCACCCCATTCTCCACACCTTCTATTGAAGGGCGTTAGGGTCCTTGTCCTAGAATCCCAAGCCGCTTCCAAGATACCTTCCCCCTGTTCGTCATCTCAATCATGGTGCCGAATATCCATTTCATTGCAAGAAAACCATCCAACATTATGGAACTTGCCACCAAAACCAAAAAGATAAGCAAACCCCGGGATTTGTCAAAGCAGCACCAAGTCATATCTGGGTAATGAAATAATGTAACAAAGTCAGTAACCAATGCCCCGTGTATGCCTTGCATACTAAGATGAAATGAGATAGGTAACACGAGGGATTTGTGGTCTATTCACGGTCTTGACTCCGGATGTGAACGTGGTGGGGACTTGGACTCTCCACACTTGACCAACACGTAGAAAGTAGTTGGCTGTGAATAAGTGGAAGGCGTTGGAACGAGTGGACGGTTGCGTGGCCCTTGTTTATTTGCAATCCGCGCGGGTCTGTTTGTCAATTTTCTCCAGGTGCTCCACGAGGTTTTAACATTTTAGGTTTTTATTGTAGATATTCTGACCGAAAGTTGGGGTTTGTGGAGATAAACAAATGTTGGGGTATGGGGGAATAGTTCTGGGGTTCTGTTTTAAGTTGTATGGCTACTTCATATATTCTCTCAAAAAGATCGTGATGCCGGTGATCTAATTGAGGATATAATATGAGTTGTGATCTGTGATTGTGTCGTGGACATAGATGTTGGTATGGGTATTTGGAGGTGCATGGTCTGGTGTTGAGGTAGGGTTTGCTAAATACTTTTTCCGAGGTGTCGAAGTGGATACAGGAGTGGACGGAAACTACTATGACACCGCTGTTGATTGATAGACATAGATCTCCAATACGGTAGTTACGACTCGCAAATGAAATCTAATTAATTGAATATTTAGAAAAGTCCATTAGAGTAAGTTAAGAGTAGGCGGACTTCCAAACGTGGTATATCTTCTCCGCTCTGTCGCTCTGTCGCTCTAGTTTGTTTCATTATTTCTGGTTCTTGGTAATTCTTATAAATCGCTCATAAATCTCTAATGTCCCACCGTTTATATGTGTGTCTGTATGTCTGTCTGTATGTGCATTAGTCGTTTCTCTTCATCATGGTGTGCTATTCCAAGCATTCTGGAGCATCTCCTATAAGCAGGTGAAGAAATCACAAACTTTCAAGAAGATAATGATGTTACACTCACAAAACTCACAATCTCCTGGCGTAGTAAAGTAGTCGGACCGTCCCGTCTGGGCATCTTTCGCACCTAAAACAGTGTGAATAAGCAATGCCACTCAGCCTACCCTTCTTGGTATCTCAAACAAGACTTTGGGCGTTCCCACACGCTGTAACCTTCCTATCTACCGACATATGTGCCAACCTTGGCGTTCAATACGACGTCAATCGACCATCCTATATGATTTCTGTGCAAATCAGGTAGGTCGATCAAGGTGGGAAAAAAAGCTGTGACGATTTATTTGCGTGATTGTATATCCTATAGCGAAGTGAAAGAGTACTTGTATTTTTAATTGGTGATTGAACGAATGTATTGCGAAAATATCGCGGAGACTTTTATCTGCAATGCTACCTCGCCATGTACAAAATAAATTGTATACCCACACTCTTATCCATATTTCAACACGCTCGAGTCTGAGAGACCATCGGATTGCCATACTCGCATTGAAACATTGAAAAGTGTCGCAGGATAAA